GGCGGCGACTCACTTTGCCCCGGTGGGGAACAGATACTGATATCCCTGATGCAGGAAAGCCATGATGAGCTCCTCTGTCCTCAAACTCTCAGACAAACTAACTTCTGGTCATGCTAAGCCGCGCCCTGCCTGCCGTGTGATCAGCAGTCGCCGCGGCAACGGCGCCCACAATCAATCACTGCGAGTGCTGTTGCCATGGCGTCATGTGGTTTCCCCTCTTCCTGTTTATATATAATTATTAATTTTTTCCCTCATCTCCTGCCCCGCGGAGCGGTCGCCAGCGTGGATATGAGTCACAACCTCGCTGGATGGGAACCGCTACTGTCGGCGCCCCGCGGTCACCGTGGCAACGGGGCAGTTTTTCAGTGAAATTGAGTCATAGAAGCCACAAGATTGGTCAAAAAAAGCAAGGAAAAGGCTATTTTTGTGTGAAATTGAGTGAAAAAGCAAGAAAATAGGCTAATTTTAGGCTGAAATAGTCAAAACAAAAAAAGGGCTTTTTTGTGAAATTAAGTGTAAAAGGCTCATTTTTTGCAGTGACAGGTCAGTTTCTTGGTGAAATTGAGTAAGAATCCATAAGATTGGTCAATTATTTTTTTTAAAAGGCCAGTTTTTGGGTGAAATTGAGTCAAAAAGAAAAAAGGCCAGTTGTTGGGTCTCACCTCTCAAACTCGGCCCTCAGGAGGCGCTCCCTCTCCAGGATGGCAACGTGCAGGCGGCCCCACTCCTTCTCCACGTCCAGCGGGTGGTAGCCGGGGGGAACCTTGACCTGGCCGGCCTGGACGGCGCCCTGAAAGACACGAGCGCGAAGAACAAACGCGTCAGCGGCGCCCGGCGAGCAGTAGCGTCCAGCAAGTGGTGGCGTCCGTCACCTCAAAGGACTGGAAGATGTGTTTAGAGCGGTTCTTGTCCGCCTCTTTGGCCGGCAGCTCCGTCTCCTTAAATTTCAGGAACTGGCGCCACAGAACCTGCAAATAAGAAAGCGGTCAATGTGGAGGACGATCAGCAGATGTTGTGTTTAACTCATTGGCTGCCAAAGACGTCTATAGACGTCAATTCAAAAACAACCGTTGACTGCCAAAGACGTCTATAGACGTCTTTTATGTTTTTCAACGAGAGTGGCTTGGGGAACGATCTGCTAAAGCTTGTCCGTAAATATCGGCTTCTAGACAGAGTATGTACTAACAAATTGACCCTCTAGGTGGCAGTGCCACTTTTGATGGGAGATGAGCATGGACTGTAGGCAAATAAGAAAAAGGTAACGGTTCGCTATGAGAGAACATGTCGCCGGTGAGACGCAAGTCGAGGAAGAACGGAATAAGGTAGAAACAATTTTTTTTTCCTGGTGAAAGAAGAGAGTCTACTCTTTCTTTTGGTGTGTTCGGTGTTTACATAGTCATTGCACAAACTATTCTGTGGCTCTTGAAAAATCTGTCAAAATGCTAAAAAAACTCTGGCAGTATGGGACTCTCTGTTCTGAAAATGGCTGGCAGTCAATGAGTTAATGGCAGCAGGAGGTTTCAGCTCTCACCTCGATCTCCTCGTAGCTGGAGGGGAACTTCCTCTCCTCAAACACCAGGATGTGGTGTCTGATCCACTGCAGCAGCAGAGTCACCAGCTCGTAGAACTCCTGCCAGCGCAGCTCCAGCTCCTGCTGGGAGAAAGGCGTGAGAGGAACCCAGCCAGGAGCCGGGAACCAACAGACGGGAACCAACAGACGGGAACCAACAGACAAGAACCAAAAGAAAGGAACCAACAGACAAGAACCAAAAGAAAGGACCCAACAGATGGGAAATAATGGACGGGAACCAACAGACAGGAATTAAAGATAGGAACAAACAGCTAGGAACCAAAATATAAGAGCCAACAGACAGGAACCAACAGACGGGAACCAAAAGAATTGAGCCAACAGACAGGAACCAACAGACAGGGACCCAAAGATAGGAACCTAAAGAGTTGAGCCAACAGACAGGAACTTAAAGATAGGAACCAACAGACAGGAACCAACAGCTGGGACAGAGAAAGGGGGTCAGAGGAGAACCCAGACTGTTCCAGAAAAGTGCAGAACTTTAAAGTAGGGTTTAAAGCAGTGAAGGAAGCTGCAGATGAAGGTTTGAAGCCCGTTTGATGCCGGTTCACACTGTGACTCACGTTGGCTCTGACTCCGTCCTGGACGTCTGGCACTCGGGGCATGGCGTCGTACAGAGAGGAGACGTATGTGATGATGGACTTCTCATCCGGGTGGGGAACGTCCACATCTGGAAAGCAGAATAAACAGTCACAGCCGAGGAAAGAAGAGGAAAAGAAAGGAACCCAGACATCAAGTAATCCTGGTGGGGCTCATAACTGCGATTGAATTACAACTCAATTATACAGCAGATCCTCTATTTACGATCGCCTAAACATAGGAATTTTCCAACATCCAAAGTGTTACATATTGCATGCATTTCTTTTATTGCTATGTGTAATTGCAGAGGAGGGGCCACCTTTAGCCGTGTCTGGCATATGGCGGACATATTTAAAGCCGCCATATTGAATCGTGGTCAAGTTTTTCCAAAGGGAAGGGGGTCATGTAGCGTATCAAAAAAGCTAATGTGTGTCAGAAATTGATTGGTGCTGTCAATTTAGCAATCAATCAAATCAATCAATCAATCAAAATCCACCCCAGAAAAAAAAGGTGTGCTCGCCTTCTGGGTCCAGCAGCCTGGTGACGCCCAGGTCTCTCTCTGCCACGCTGAAGGCCTGCTCCAGGTTCTCCTGGTTGGTCTGACGGTACACCTGGCTCATGTCGATCAGCGTGGGCCTGCAGCCAGAAGAGGCGTCACACTGTTAGAGTGGCTCAGTCGGGTTTCTGCCTCCAACATACAGCCTCAGGCCTATTTCAGGGGGGCTTCAGCCACCCTGAAACCCTCCAAGCCCCACAAGGCTTTGCTTAATAGAGCAAAATCATGTTTTTATAGGAGAAAAATGCAGCTTTTAACCGGTTATACACAAGCTCCCACACTAAACTTAATGTTACGGCTTGATCTGAAATTAAATCTGAATACTAAAATAACCAGAAAACTGCACTTGACTGATAGATTTCTTCCCTAGATGACGCTTTAAAAACCCAGAAACCTAGCCAATGCCTTGCAGGACACAAAAAAGGATAAAAATATTCTATTCAAAGGCTGAAACCAGACAAAAATCATTAGAAAGTGGTAAAACTGAGATCCAGTTCTGCATCCTAAAGGCTGAAGTTGTTCCAATTCCCTTCCTGAGTCTAAAAATGACCAGAAAACTGCATTTGATTGATAGATTTTTTCCCTAGTTGACAACCAGAAACAGAGCTGATGCATTGCATGACAAAAAAAAGGATGAAAATGTTCCTTTTAAAGGCTGAAACCAGACAAAAACCATTAAATCAGATCCAGTTGTGCATCCTAAAGGTTGAAGTCGCTGCCTAACGCGGGGTGCATTTCTCTTCAAAAGCAGCCAGAACATGCAGGAACAAGCACAGAGCAGCTTCCCAATAACTGTCAGCGGACTCAAACAAAAACAGAGAAGGCATTTGGAGCTCCTACACTCGCACGGCTCGCCCCGGTTCTGTGCAGGCCGGTCTGTAGGACGGCCCGATCCCGCTCAGGTGGGGGGGGCCCCGGATGGAGGTCCGGCTGGAGGCCCGACTGGAGGCTTGGCTGGAGCCCCCCTCCAGGCTGTGGGAGCTCAGGCCCCAGTCGGAGGAGCCCTGGACGGGGATTTCCTCGCAGGTCATGATGACCCGGTCCTCCAGGTCTCCGACGGAGCCGGCGGCGCTGCTGGAGCTGCTGCCCAGGCGCCTCCTGGAGTGGAGCTTCCTCCTCAGCTTGTGCATGGCCGGGCGGGCGAAAAGCAAAAAGCTTGAGCCTGCGGGGCCTGAAAACGGGAGGCCCGGCTCCTCTGCACGTCCCTCCCTGGAAGGAATCTGTGGTGGAGCCTGGCTGGCGCAGCAGCGTTTTGCTAAGACCTGCCAAGCCCGCAGTGAGCCGCCCTCCAGGCTAAGGTTTTTCCTCGAATCAGAGCGAGGCGCCCGGGCTGTGCTGGAAAACTCCCACTCTGAAGGCAGAGCGGTGCCAGCCCAGCCTGGCCCGGCCCAGCTCGGATCGGCGCCGCCCAGAGCTCCAGCCGGCCTCCAGCTGCCTTACTGGGAGGCTCCTCAGCACATTTCCTCCCAGGAGAGGGGCAGGATCCTTAGCCTGGACTCTGGAAAAACCCACTCAAGACGGGTTCTGGGCAACTCTGCAGCAGAACTAGAATCTCTGACATCTGTCTGAGAGCTTTGGGGCTCCTCCCAAATCTGAAAACACCACGAATTAAAGCTGACTGCTGTTTACAGCCCCCTTTAAGCAGAGTCTGCTCCCACAATTAGCCTCTCGGATCACACAAACATTCCTTCACACTCAATCTTCTGTTTATTCTGGCTTCCACTTTCCATGACTAATCCTCTCACCGACTCCTCTGCCAGCAAGACGACAGCCGTTTGTCCTTTTCTCCATTAAAAAACAGACTTTTGTTGCAAAATAGCCCAAAAATAGCCCAAATGTGATCTTTTTAGGTCAAGCTGATGCACATCCGAGCCAGTGAGGAGTTTAAAAAAGTCCTTTGCAAAGCCTTTCTGTAAAATACTGTTAGTCTAAGTAGAGCTGGGAGAAAAAACTAAGGAAATAGAGAAAGATTTCCCAAAAAGTTGCTATAAATACTGAATCTTTTGCCTTTTCACCCTGTTAGATGAACATTATCTGCATATTACAACAGTAAATACAGAATATTTATTATTGATTCGTGGAATATTTATAAATCACTGGTAATGACCCATTAATGATGGTCTGGGGTATGAGTAAGCAAGCTTTGAGGCCCCTTTCCATTTATAGGATTTTAACAGCTCTGAATTACATTTTCTGAGCCAAGTCAACTCTTTAAATATTTACCAGTGTCTCTGGCCAGCCTGGAGGCACATTAGGATGACTAAAAGGATAATTTTAATCAGGATTTCTAGGGAATGATGCCAAATAATCACATTGGGTATCCCAAAAGGCAACCAGAAAGATTCTTTCAGTCAAATTATCTCAATAACTTTTTTTTTTTTTTTTTTTTAAAGATATGCTTCATAAAGGTTGCCCTTTGTTTCCACAGTGGGCGCAAATAACAGACTGAAAGGACGTGCCAGCTGGGTTTACCACACTGATGTCCAACGGCCGATTCTGTGGTTAAAAAATCTGGATTTTATTAGGGCAGAGTGACGGTTTCCACTAGGCTTTAGTTCCTCTTCATGTGAATTTGGTTACCAACATGTTCTCCTGCATCTCCAAAGTCGGACTCTGCTTTGTTTTCTCCAATTAAAATGTGCCGACTGCTCATTTAATGCAGTCAGGGCGAACAGGAAGGCAGTCGGGAAGCAGAGGAAGAAAAACGCTGAGTCATGCTCTGTGCTTGGAGGGCCAACATCTGCAAATGAGGGCTCTGGATGAACACCAACACTAAGCAGTAGGACAATAAAAGTCCTCACCAATAAGGACACTGAACCCACACTGATGGGAAGGCAGAGAGCTTGGATCCAGATGTTCCAAGAGAGCAGCTTCTGGGCTCCACCAGGACTAACAAACCTGGACTTATCAGTCTGATTTATGAAGGTCGTTCCACATTTTGTCCCGACAGGTCGGCTGAAACGCTAAAAATTTCAGTTATGAATCTGACATTTTTGCTTCTGAACCTCCTGCAATAAATCAGAGAAAAAGGCAAAAAGGCCCAGATGTGAAATATGCAAAAGGTGGCAGAGGTGACCTTTGGATTGTGGGTGGAAGTCGTGTCCAGGCAGGTTTTTCTACCTGGAAATGCATCTCTGCTGGAACAAAAATCTTCTGTGCAGCAAGTCACACATTTTCTGAAGCTTCCAGAGTTTCTCTGCTTCTTCTCTGGTTTTCAGTCCGTTAGCTGAGCGTTTTCAGAGGAATGCGTTCAGTCACTAAACCTTCAGGTTCCGATTCTGTTCGGTTGCATGTTCTAGTTTTTTCTGCATGTTCTGCTTTCTGTGCAGGTTCTGGTTTCTCTCCTGCTTCTGCTGCATGTTCTGGTTCTAGTTCTGTTTGGTCGCATGTTCTGGTTTCACTGCAGGTTCTGTTGCAGGTTCTAGGTTATATCTGCGGGTTCTGGTTTTAGCTCAGTTGCAGGTTCTGGTTCTAGTTTGGTTGCAGGTTCTAGGTTTTATCTGCAGGTTCTAGTTCTGTTGCAGGTTCTACTTCTAATTAGGTTTCAGGTTGTCATTCTGCAGCAGGGTTTGGTTCTGCTGCAGGGTCTGGTTTCTCTCCAGGTTTTGCTGCAGCTTCTGGTTCTAATTTGGTTTCAGGTTCTGGTTTCTCTCCAGGTTCTGGTTTGTCTA